CTGTGTCCTTTCATGTATTAGTAGTTTTCTGGGTGCACCTGTGTTTGAAATTATATAGTTCTCTCCTTGAAGTCTTCCTTTAATTGGTAGGAAGTGCTATTTATTATTTCTCACTAGATTTTGTTTCAAGTCTATTTTGTCAGATTAGATTAGCAATACTCACTTGTTTTTTAGCTCCACTTACCTGGAACAGCAATCATTTCATTGAAAGGTTCCATGTGTTTTTATGATAAAGTATAGCAAATGTATACTCTCTAATTTTTATTCCCATCTCTTTGTCTGTGATACTTTATTAGAAAATGACATTAATATTCAGTAACTAATGGAAGATGTCTACTGATTCCTGTCATTTTGAAGATTTTTCCAAGGTGTTTAAGCTGTGTTACTTTTATTTCTTATTTTACTGTTGTTGTAGTTTGTTTTATGGTCTCTGTGATAAAAACACTCTTGCCAGAAGCAATGTAGGGGAAAAAGTGTTTATCTGGCTTATACTTTCAGGTCTCAATCTACGTATGGGCAAAGACAGGACAGAATCTTCAGAAGGAAATAAAGCAGAAACCATTTTACTAATCTGCTTGATAGCTTCTTCAGTGTCTCATGCTCAATTATCTTTCTCATACAGCCCAGTCCCAGATACATATGCTGTGTCATACCATAGCAATCATTTATCAAAACTATAATTCAAGCATGTGGCCACATACCAATCTCATAGGGACAATATCTTTTTTTTTAAATATTTATTTATTTATTATGTATACAATATTCTGTCTGTGTATATGCCTGTAGGCCAGAAAAGGGCAGCAGACCCCATTACAGATGGTTGTGAGCCACCATGTGGTTGCTGGGAATTGAACTCAGGACCTTTGGAAGAGTAGGCAATGATCTTAACCTCTGAACCATCTCTCCAGCCCTAGGGACAATATCTTAACTGGGAATTTCTCAGATAATTCCAACTTGTGTCAAATAGACTGCTGAAGCTAACTTAAACTTGTTGCAGTCTTATAGATAGAACTGATTTTCTCTTTGGTCTAAAAGACTCCTATATATTTTGTACAGCATCCTTGGTGTACAAATGAATTCATAAATTCATTTTACATATATTTAGCATATAAAGTTTTGTTTCTCCTCCACTTAAGACAAGAGGCTTTAATGGTTACAGTAGTCGAGATGTCATTGGTTGACTTTTAAAACTTGAAATACAAATTTCCAGTCCCGCCTACTTTTTAAAGTTGAAATCTCAGTTCTAACAGACCTTCTATTACATTAGACTTGGTGTTTTTCTCTTACAATTTTCAATGTGCTTTCTTTGTTTACATAAACAATTCTGAGGGAAGATTCTTTTTTAGCCTTTGTGGTGCCCTACTTTCCACCTGTATCTGAGTTGGCATCTGTTTCAACAGAAAGCAACTTATAGAGATGTTATGGAATATTATTTTAAGACATGTTACATTCATTTATGTTGTGGAACATTTATTTTAATGTTTCAAAGATGTGTTGCATTCTTCTATGTTTAATTTGTTTAACTCTGTGAATCTGTGAAACTTTGCCTGTCAAACACCTGATGTTCTAGTAGAGAGCTAAACAGACAATATTGAGGCAGGAGAAAGGATAGGCAGGGCTGGTAGGCAGAGAGAATTAATTTGAAGAGAACTCAAGGAAAAGAGATGGGGGAGAAAGGAAAGGAGAATGACTTCAGGGTCTAGTCACCCAGCTACATAGCAAGACACAGAGTAAGAAAGAAAGAAAAGATATGCAGAAATCGGAAAAGGTAAAAGCCCAATGGCAAAAGATAGATGGGATAATTTTATTTTTTGACTAGAAAAAAACAAAGCTAAGGCTGGCATTTATAAGAAAGAATAAGTCTCCATGTCTGATTTATTTGTGAGCTGTGTGGCAGACCCCCAAAAGAGCAAAGAAAAAAAGAGTAAAACAGCTAACAATGTTTTGGCATTCCAACACAGGGCTAGAATAAAAGAAAATCCAATAACAGAAAGAAAGGTTTTGGTTTTGCTTACAACACTAGGTTACAGTTTATTATTGGAAAGTTTTGGTAGGAAATTAAAGCACTACATTTCACAGTCAAGAGCAGAGAGACAATATGTTTGCCCTGCTTTCTTGCTTGCAGCTAACTTTCTCTTCCCTACTTTTCTACACTACCATGAGTAGGGAATTATGCTGCCGACATTGTGTTTCACCTTTCTACATTATTAATGAACTATAAGAACAACCTTTCAAAGACATGCCTACAGATCAATGTAATCTATCTAGAATATTATTCATTCACATTCTCTTTCAAGATAGTTATATGTTGTGTTAAGTTAACATTAAAAGCTACTAAACACAACATCTCTTTTCTTCTCTATGGGATATGATAAACATGTTTTCTATATCTATGAACCTTGCATTTCATGTTTTCATAGAGGAACAAATATCTTGTAATTCCTACTGCTGTCTTCTTATTATTCCAACTTTGTTGTTATTGAATTGTCCCAAGTCCCCCACCTTGCCTTCACACTGTGATATTTTTCCTTCAAAAATATCTTTTTTATTATGATCTGCTGTGTGTGTGTGTGTGTGTGTGCTAGAGTGTCTCTGTGTGTACACACATCTCACAGAACTTTTGTGAGAACCTAATAACAACTTTGTGGAGTCAATTGTCTACTCTTAATCTATATGGGTTACAGAGACAGTTTAATCATCAGGTGTATATGGTAAGTACTTTCTTACCTGTTGTTCTCATAGTGCCACCATTTAATTTTCTTCATTTAAAATTTATTTGTTGTGTAGACCATTTGCGCTAATTTTTACTTTTCCTGGTGCAATAAAATTATTTTTATAAATTACTCTTCATAATTATGTAATTAGGGGCTGTAGAGATGCTTCAGAGGTTAGAAGAACTTGTGAATTTTTAGAGGAGGGGAGCTTGTTTCCCAGAACCCACAACAAGTGGCTCCCAATTTTTCATATCTCTAGCTTGAGGAGAACTGGCATTCTTTTAATATCTGTGGGCACATACACACACATGCACTCATAAGCATGTGAAAATGTGCAAACAATGTAAAAATAAAAATAAAATAAATCTTTTAAAATTATTTTATTAATTACAAGTTTCTAGAGCCTTTCATGTTCTCTGAATGTCCATGTATAACATTCTCTCTCTCTCTCTCTCTCTCTCTCTCTCTCTCTCTATCTATATATATATTCCACTACCTCTCCTCTTCTCCAATCTCTCTCTACCTCAACCTGATGATATATGTCCCTCACTGTAATCATTGATATGATATTAACACTATCATGCAACCTTGATGCATACCTTCATAGCGTTTCACTCAACCTGCTGCTATAGTGATGGGAATCATTCTTTCCAACATCATATAAGTTACCATTCTTGTCATTGAACTCTGTCATTGAACCTTTTTTGTTCCACTAGAACACTTGACCAGGAGGCAGTTACTTACTTGCTTGCTTTTTGACCATTGTTCCCCCACTAACACTAAGACTTTGTGAATTGTTGTTGTTGGGTACAGCAACAACACTAGGTCTCATAACTTGATATATATCTATTAAAGTTTTAGAAAATAATATATTCAGGCTGAGTAATATGGTAAAATCCTTCACTCATGACATTTATGGGATGGATACAGTGGATCAATTGTTCAAGTAATCCTTTTCTACATAACAGAGACAGACTTATTGACATATACTTTGTAATCTCAGCCTCCAAATAAACACATTATCTTTGAAAATGACCTCTAAAGCAGAACAAATTGTAATTCTCAGCAACATTATGTCATTGCCTTATATTTGATGCTCTCACTAACATGCTTTTGGTTTTTTGCTTATTTTCAGACATGATCAGGTGTATCTCAAGTTTGCCACTAATTCACAATGTAGTGGGAAATGACATTGAACCTCTTGTCTTCTCTTAACACTAACTCCTGAGTTTTAATATTTCAAATGTATGACACCACTTCTGGCTTGGCTTTTAGCCTTTTCTAATGCCATAGGTGTGTGTGTCCATGATTGTATGGAAACAAATGTGTGACTATGTCTGATCTTGTGCCAAAGCTTGAATGTGGAAGACAAGCAATAACATTAGGTATTGAGCCTTGATAGCTACTTTGTTCAATGGTTCCTGAGGATTCAAACACAGGTGCTCACACTTACAAGGCAAATACATTCCACTGAACCTTCACCTGAGACCAACTTTCAATCTCTTTAAGTGACTTAATTCTGCCATTTCTTGTAGAATTCACTACAACTTCTCTGTAGATCATTTACCCTCAGTTTTCAATTAAATCTTAGAATCCTTGAATTCATTTATTCTACTGCTCTTACCCTGACTTAACTCTTACCTTCTTTCTGATTTGATCCAGTTATTTATTCAGATAACGGGTAACAATGCAAGTGTAAAATGAAGGCTAAGACAATAAGACAGTGCACTCAACCAGGAACTATTGTGAACACATCAAAATAACCATAGGAATGTAAGTGAAATTTGGATGTGAAGGTGGATGTTTATGCTTGGAAGGTCTCTAGTTGTCTGTGTTTTGGAGGCTTGGGTGTTGAAGAGTGACTATTGAGTAGTGAGGGTAACTTAGAGGTGGAGGCCAGTAGAAGGGGATCTCCCTCATAATTAGGTAAGATGGTTCTTCAGACATGATGGAATTAAACAGTCTAAGCCTGACCATGTCCAGAAACCTCTGGTTTACTGTATTGGTGTGATTGCTTTTCCCAACACATGCCTGAGTCATTGATTCCCAACAGGAGGATGTCTCCTCATGGCATCAGTGGTAAAGCAGTGGGGTGATGAGTTTACTAGTGTTTTTGATTTTATCAGCTCACTATCTGTGTATGTGTCATTTGTTACATTGAATATTATAAATGTCAGCTTAATTTTTCTTAATAAAGGTATCTACCATTTGCAAAAAAGTGAAGAATATCAGGCAGTGCTCACTTTTATTCTTTGTAATCAACACTTTCTTCCTTCCTTCACACAGTTTTATATGGATCATGGTTTGAGCACACCCGTGCCTGGCTGTCCATGAGAGAAAGGAACAACTTCCTGCTTTTGTGCTATGAAGACCTGAAACAGGTAACCAACATTCTTATCTCAACCACAAACCTTCTCACAAACCCACCCCATGCTGTACCCCACATTCCTCAGTGTTGCCATGTCAGTGTTAGGCTCATGAACACTCACTAAAAATTAGATTATTGCTTATGTCCTTTATTGACCTGCTTCTGACATTTCCTCTCCAGCCTCCTAATCCATCTTCCACGTCTTCTCTACCCTGGGGAAGGGAGGGGTAGCTCACACTTGCACTACAAGTATTTAATTCTATCTAATTAAATGCAACACATTTGATACATCTGATAATGCAGTGGTCAGTGGTTAGTGGGGATAGTAGTGTTATTCTACTGTTGTGACAAAATTTATGTCATCTACACTTGCCTGCAAGAAGAGAGACAAAGGAGAAAATTATCAGTGAGTTCTGGTAGAATACAAGTCCAGGAGACCCAGGAATAGTACTGAATGCTACATTAATCTAACTGGGCATGTACAGGGTACAGCCAGTCAGGAAAGATGGTGCCCTGTGCTCTGCAGTACAGAGGGTTCCTTATGATGGACTAGAATACACTAGAGATTTCAAAAGTCTTAGTAGAGAATATTTAAAATGTTTCACCATTAAGTAATGCCATATATTTAAATAGAATGATAGACTATACATTTACCTGATCATTGAGGGTTTTATTTCACTAAAATGGCCAACTGATGGTATAAATATGTTTAAGTACTTTGGGTATGTCTCAAACATCACTTATTTTAAAAATTAAAAAATACCTTGGCCGTGTGACACTTGAATGCAAATCCAACTCTGAGACATAGAGTCAGTGTCAGGGTTTCTGGATCATCTTTGCTTGTATGGTTGGTTTGAGGCCAGTGTTGGCTATAGTAGACATTGTTTCAAAAGACCATTAAGAAAAAATAATTTTGTATTTTATGTTCATTTAGCTAAAAATACTCCCTCTTGATGATGTAAGTTATAAAATAATCCCACACTAGATCAGGATTATATATAAAAAGGGTTATTTATTTAGGGGTAGGCTCACAGATCACAGTCCTCTGCATGAGTGGGAAACAGGAACTGAAGCTAGCAGCCAGAAATGAGAAACCAAAGAGAGAGAATCAGCACCCTCTTTACAGCTGTATTTATACTATAAGAGACCATGCCCAAGTGAGCTGGTATCTTAAAGGCTATAGGCTGAAGGAACTCCCATAGCACCTCTCCCTTTTGTTTAAATAAGAGAGTTCTAAACCTAATAAAAAACTATGTACACTAGGAACAGATATTAAGTATAAAGTTAGAAGTACAGCCAGCATAAACAGTATTAAGCAAGGAATATATCCTAATGTTTTTATAAGCATTCTATCCTAAGGAGTCTAAGATTGTAGTAGAAATGGCTTGACTAGATCATAAGAGGATGGTAATATGACTATCTAGTCTTCAACCCCATTGAAGACTGGAGAAGGGAGATAATATTACTTGAGTAGGCAGGAAGTACAATCAAGCAATTCCAAAATGTACAGTAGATGACAGAGACAACTGGATGCCTAGGCAATCACTCAAAGTCTCATTTGCAATGTTGAAGCAATCAACTTTGGCTAAGACCTAGAGTAACTGACAGACCATTTTCAGAGGCAGAAAAATTTTCAGAACCATCTTACCCTGTCTTGGGAAGGTTTGGCAGTCATTTTTCTTGTATCCTGCTGGGTCAAGTCTGGACATTGTGGCATAGGCAAAAAGGCAGTTGTGCCAAGAAGAAAACAAACTCCAAGTAGAGTGTCTTTGGTGTTCAACACTCTCTCAGGAATAGATCATGCTGCCAAGAGCAATCGTGTCTCACATTAACATCATCCTAAAATATTTAAATGCCATGTTCTACAGAACTTTGAAGTGGTTTAAGATTACCTATCTATGTGGATAGACACAGTCTATCTCTATGTATCTAAAGACCCTGAATAATTTAACTATAAGTATGACAAACATGGATGACTACTGACCTATAATACTTAATACCTGCATAACTTAAAGACTAAGACTTCATATTAGAATATTAATCAATCTTTAAACAAGAAATGAGTACAATGACCTAAAAATGTAAACAATGTATAAATATCTTGATCACAGGTAGAAATATATAATGCAATACGATAAATATATTCTAAAATTGTATTAATATACAAAATATCTTTTTGTTTGTTTTTTCTTTTATTATTATTATTATTATTATTATTATTATTATTATTATTATACCAAGAGATGCCCTATCATACAACAAAAGCATTTGTTCAACTATGTTCATAGCAGCATTATTTGTAATAGCCAGAACCTGGAAATAACCTAAATGCCCCTCAATGGAAGATTGAATAAAGAAAGTGAGGAATATATACACATTAGAGTACCACTCAGCGGTAAAAAACAATGACATCTTGAATTTTGCATGCAAATGGAAGGAAATAGAAAACACTATCCTGAGTGAGGTAACCCAGTCCCATAAAGAGGAATGTGGTATGTACTCACTCATAAGTGGGTTCTAGCCATAACAAAGGACATTGGCCTATAATTCATGATCCTAGAGAAGCTAAAAAGTAAGTTGAACCCAAAGAAAAGCAGGTAGTTATCCTCCTGGATATAAGAAGTAGACAAGATTTCCAGGCAAAAATTGAGAGCTTGAGGGTAAGGGTGGGGAGGGCAGAAGGGGAGATACGGAGAGAAAAGTTTTTTATTTTTTTAATTATTAAAAAGTTTCACCTCCACCCCACCTCCAATTTGCCCCCAGTTCCCTTACTCCCCTCCCCCTCCAGTCCTGAGAGCAGTCAGGGTTCCCTGCCACATGGGAAGTCCAAGGTCCTCCCCCCCCTCCATTCCGGTCTAGGAAGGAGAGCATTCAAACAAACCAGGCTCCCACAAAGCCAGTCCATGCAGTAGAATCAAACCCATCACCATTGTCCTTGGCTTCTCAGTCAGCCCCCATTGACAGCCACATTCAGAGAGTCTGGTTTGATCACATTCTCCATCAGTCCCAGTCCAGCTTGCCTTGGTGAGCTCCCATTAGATCAGTCCCACCATCTCAGTGGGTAGATGCACCCCTCGCGGTCCTGACTTCCTTGCTCATATTCTCCCTCCTTCTGTTCCTCATTTGGACCTTGGGAGCTCAGTCTAGTTCTTCAATGTGAGTCTCTGACTCTATCTCCATCCATCGCCAGATGAAGGTTCTATGGTGATATTCAAGATATTCATCAGTGTGTCTATGGGAGAAGGTCAATTCAGGCACCTTCTCTTCTGCTGCCAAAGGAATAAGCTAGGGCCATCTTCTTGGACTTGGGAACCCCTCTAGAGTCAAGTCTCTTGCCAACCCTAAAATGGCTCCCTTAATTAAGATATCTACTTCCCTGTTCCCATATCCATCGTTCCTCCATCCTAACCAGCCCATTCCCCGAAATTCTCCCCAATCCTCCCCTTCTCCCTCCCCATCTCTTCATAAACACACCTCACCCCAGTGCACCTAACTTTTGTCTGGCAATCATGTCTACTTTCAATATCCAGGAGGATAACTACATGATTTTCTTTGGGGTCACCTTCTTATTTAGCTTCTCTAGAATCATGAATTATAAGCCCAATGTCTTCTATTTATGGCTAGAATCCACTTATGAGTGAGTACATACCATATTCCTCTTGTTGGGTCTGGTTTATCTCACTCAGTAAAGTGTTTTCTATTTCCAACCATTTGCATGAAAAATTCGAGATGTCATTGTTTTTTACCACTGAGTAAAACTCCAATGTGTATATGTGACACACCTTCTTTAATCATTCTTCTATTGAGGGGCTCCTAGGTTGTTTCCAGGTTCTGGCTATTACAAATAGTGCAGCTATGAACATAGCTGAACAAATGCTTTTGCACTATGTTTGGGCATCCTTTGGGTATATACCCAAGAGTGGAATTGCTGGGTCCAGAGGTAGGTAGACTCCCAGTTTCCTGAGAAACCGCCACACTGATTTCCAAAGTGATTGTACAAGTTTGCATTTCCACCAACAGTGGATGAGTGTTCAGCTTACTCCACAACCTCTCGAGCATAGACTTTCATTAGTGTTTTTGATTTTAGCTATTCTGACAGGTGTGAGATGGTATCTCAAAGTTGTTTTGATTTGAATTTTCCTGATCGCTAAAGAGGTTGAGTATGAAGTTAAGTGTCTTTAGGCCATTTGAATTTCTTGTGTTGAGAATTCTCTGTTCAGTTCAGTTTCCCATTTTGTAATTGGGTTAATGAATGTTTTAATGTCTAGTTTCTTGAGTTCTTTATATATTTTGGAGATCAGACATTTGTCTGATGTAGGGTTGGTGAAGGTCTTCTCCCAGTCAGAAGGTAGCCTTTTTTATTTATTTATTTATAAGAATTTCCACTTCCTCCTCTCCTCCCGCTCCCCTCACTCTCTCTTCTCCTCCCTCTACAGTCCCAACAGCTGTCAGGGTTTCCTGCCTTGTGGGAAGTCCAAGTTCCTCCCCTCTCCCTCCAGGTCCAGGAAGGTGAGCATCCAAACAGACTGGTATCCCAAAAAGCCAGTACATGCAGACGAAACAGGACCCAGTGCCATTGTTAATGGCTTCTCAGTCAGCCCCCATGTCAGCCACATTCAGAGAATCCGGTTTGATCACATGCTCGTTCAGTCCCAGTCCAGCTGGCCTTGGTGAGCTCTCATTCAATCAGTCCCCTTGTATCAGTGGGTGAATGCACCCTTCACGGTCCTGACTTCCTTTTTCATGTTCTCCCTCCTTCTGCTCTTCATTTGGACCTTGGGGGCTCAGTCCAGTGCTCCAATGTGGGTCTCCGTCTCTATCTCCATCCATCGTCGGATGAAGGTTCCCTCTGGTTCTGCCTTCCTTTCTCACGTTCTCCCTCCCTCTGCTTCTCATTTGAACCTAGGGAGTTAAGTCCAGTGTTCCAATATATGTCTCTGTCTCTATCTCCATCCATCGCCAGATGAAGGTTCTATGGTGACATGCAAAATATTCATCAGTATGGTTATGGGC